CGACCCCGACGCGCGGGGGGCGCGGGCCAAGCCCGGCCGGCCGCCTCTCCCCGGCCGCCGGCTGCGGGCGGCTGAAATCCAGCCCCAGGCCTCTCCGTGCTCCCAGGCCCCGCGGCCAGGGGTGGGAAAGGGAACTTTTTGGGGGTGAGGAGAGTTTGATTATTCCACACACGACGGAGAGTGGCCGCGTGCCTTCTCTCTGCACTCCCCTCCCCTGCGCGGGGGACAGAGCCGCAGCCACCGGCCTTCTCCTCCCCGGCGCGGCGTGGGGGCTGCAGGTGGCGGAGCGTCGCCGGCGCGGGGGCAGGAAGGCGGCCCCCAGAGGGACACCCGCTCCCACTGGCTCGCGAGCCCTTGTTGAGAGGAGAATTTCGGTGACGGAGAGGCCCCGCTGCAGAGCTCCTTTAAAAAGCACAGCCCTGACACCAGTCGCTGAGTGAAAAGTTTTCCTGCAGGGACCTCCGCTCGTATCTGTCTGGAACTGCTTCCATAGGGGGCCGGGGCTGCGGAGCCAGGGCCCGATTTGGGGTTGAGTGGATTTCCCTTTTACGTCGTGGAGAGATAACATTGTCTCCACTTAACTGCATTCCTCTACAATGTGTCAGAAGTGAAAAGGCATTTCGTTAAATTGTTTTATCGACTGTGTCTTTGTTTGACAACAGCCCACGCTGAAGTTTCTCTCAAGCACCTGAGGATATTTCCTTTTTAATTGAGCAGTGTTCGGTGGAAAGCAGATTCATTTTGGTATTTTCTATTTGTTCCCGACAGCGGAGTGGCCTGGGTCTTATGGGCTTTGTCAGTTTCACCGAGTGTACCCAGGGTGCTCAGGGTGGTAGCCTCCAGTTCTCTCTGAAATTAAGAAAAACTTTTCCCATTATTGTTTTTAGTATGTATTGGAAAAAAAAATAGCGTACACTTGGCCTTTTAGAGATGATTTTGGGGAAACGTTTAGGAACCTGACACAAGGATGGAAGATGTTGGCTTTATTTAACAGCTCTAAAATTGGTTGAACCCTTCCATTGAAAATCAAATAAAATTAGTGGAAGTTGGGCACCTGTTTATCTTGCAAAGCTAAGGGGGAAAATCTTCTAAACTTTTAAGATTCTTAAAGATTGTTTGTGACTGACAGTTTATGATCTAAATGTTCTAAATGAATAACCAAGTTGTCTACATGCTCTGGAAACCAAAATAAATTATATAAGGACAGAGAAATACTCCATGGTGTGCCTAGGCTCCTGAATAGGGAGAAGGAGATCGACATTTCTTTTCATTGTACTGATTTTATGTGCTTAAAATTACTCATATTTCATCACACACACAATAAATGTTGGTTGAATTCCCTGTTTGGGAGATACAGAAGTAGTTGTTTGGTTGATTGAGTCATTAGTTTGTTCCACAGAAATTCTTAAGCATTACTGTGTTCAAGGCACTATTATGGGTGCTGGAATCTAGGGGTCTCTCTGGCTGCTTGGTGGAAAATGGACTGTAAGGGTCTAGGGCAGTAGTCTCCATGGTCCTCCAGGTGGAGGAGGCCAGTGGTGTGGACTGTCATGCAGTGGAGATAAATGACAGGGAGAGTCAGAGGTGGTTCAGGGGGTTCCAAAATTTAAATGCTCTTTAAGTGCAACTTACAGTTCAGTGGGTGAATTTCAAGATGGACTTTGCAGTATACAAAGTTCAATCATTGGATCACAAGACTGTTGACTTTCAAATGTTGGAAGAGTCTGAGTGCCTTCTCAGGTCCATTTGTATTTTTTCCTCTTAAATTGTTAGGTAATGATTAAGTTTAATATTTAGTCTTTCTTCCTACTTTTCCCACCCAATGTAAAGTGATTATGAAGCAAACACATATTAGCATCATTTTAACTTTTATTCTCTTATCTGTTCCTTACCCTTGTTGCATAATAGAACAAGACAAAATCTGTATGAAGAATTGGGTAGCTGGGTAGTTGTGGAGTGGTGTTTAGGTTGCTAGGTGACATGTGGTGTGATGAACTCCCATCTGTTGGGGAAAAATGCAGGCAGATCTTGTTTATGGCTTTGTATAAAAAACAACCAAGCCAAAAAAAAAAAAAAAAATAGAAAGGAAGATTCCAACTCACTAAGATTTTCTCTGCAGTAAGCATTTTGTGGTATGGTGGGGTTAATTTTGTGAGATTACATTTGAGCTGTTTGCTCTTCAGGTTGAATCAATTTTTCTGGACAGTGGGATGGCATGACTTAATACCAGAAACGTCCTCAATAAGCAGATAGTTGAAGGCTTAGACTTAGTCATATATAACATATTTGTTTCTCTAGTGAAAAAATGTTTTGTGGTTAGGATCTGTGATGGGTGAAAATGGCTGTTCATCCCATTCACCCGTCCTCATCCAGATGCTCCCTGAGGAGGGTGCTGTGCTAGACAGTGACATTTTTCTCTCAAGTGCTTAGAGTCAGTGGACTGACACGTGTCTGTTCGTCTAGTGCCTGTGGTCTGGCACCCACAGGGTGCAGAACACAGCTGTAAGTATGGGATTTTTTTTTTTTTAAAGATGACCGGTAAGGGGATCTTAACCCTTGACTTGGTGTTGTCAGCACCACTCTCACCCAGTGAGCCAACCAGCCATCCCTATATGGGATCCGAACCCGTGGCCTTGGTGTTATCAGCACCACACTCTCTCGAATGAGCCACGGGCCGGCCCCGTAAGTATGGGATTTGTTGAAGGGCTGCTGTGTGTAAAATCATGCTTTATGAAGAAATATAAGACAAATTCTTGTACTCAAAAAGAGTATAATCTAGGAGACAGGAAGAATATGTAAAATCATAAGTAACAGTAGGTGATAGCATTAATTGGCAACGGGGTGGCAGGGACAGTAATTGCTTCTGGATTTTGGAAGTAGGAGGCATCATTTATGGTGTATGTGTGTGTGTGGGGGGTCTCATTTAGTCACTGGGGTTTGCATTGAGCTTGGTGGGTGGGAAGCTGGCCTTGATTTAGGCCAGTGCTTCCTCAAAAAGCACTTGCCTGGCAAGGAAGGGGGTTCTTGTTCTGTAGGTCTGCAGTGGGATCCAGGCATGTGAATATGGAGAGTATCTGCTGCGACTTTGAGAAGTGGGAAGGAAAGCTTTCAAGGAAGGGGAACGGTGTGAAGAAAGGTGATTCAGGCATTCAGGGCCAGTTTGGCTCCTTGGCAAGTCCGTCAGACGGTGGGTTAGGATGAAGCTGGGGAGGACTGTGAATGGCAAGGTGAGACTCTGGGACTTTATACAGCTCGATGGTACAGGAGGGATTCAGGTATTTGGGCATGGCAGCAAGCAGTCCTCTAGGAAGATGCTTGGAGCAGCTTTTGCGTGAACTCTGCCTTCAGTCCAAAGAAATGCTGCTAACTGGCTGCTGAGTAACTGAAAGGGGAAAAGGGACAGAAGGCAAAAGTGAGGGAGGGGAGTTGCTGGACCGTTTTTGCTTGCTGCCCTCCCTCCCCTTCCCCCATAGCCCTCATCTCAGGGAGGTAGTGGGGCTTCGAATTGGGTTTGGAGACCTAGGTTTATTAGCCATTTAACCTTGGGCCATACAACCCTCATCTCTAAAAGGGGATATTTCCTTGCAGGGTTAATGTGAGTGTTGGACAAGATGATGAATGTGAAACTCTTCAGTACTGGGGCTGGCCCATGTAGCTGCTCAGTAAAGAGGAATTGAATCACTAATACGTTTTATCAACCAAGCAGTTTTACTCCCCGGGAAACTTTCCCAAGTGTCCCACTACTCCTGCTTAAAAAGGCAGTGTGTATTGTAATTGAAGAATAGGTAAGAATGTTAACATTTGCCTGTAGCACCACAACCAGAACAAATTGTATGTGCATGTGTACACGGGGCAGGGAAAGTAAAAGCTGCTGGTACTGGCCGTATTACAGGTTGGTGAGCTGGCCCTCTGGTTTTTGGGCCATGCTTCTGTCCCTCAAACATGTCCCTTTGGAGTTACTTAATAAGAATGTATTGTGATTATTTTTAAAATAACAATTTGATTTTAAGGTCAGAAACTTTTGAAAATGTACTTTTTTTGGGGGGGGGACTGTTGATTACTAAAATCATGCAAGTCATGGTTTTTGTGAAAAATCTTATGGTTGGTATGAATTTTTTCTGTGAGTAAATGTATGACTGCATGTTACACATTTACAAGCTTATTGAAGCTTTTTAATAGTTATTCTGTTGCAGAGATTGAGAGAAAATAGAGGCAGGCATAAAATAGTGAAATGAAAGAAATATT